CCCCAAAACCCCAAAACCCCAAAACCCCAAAACCCCAAATATGATAAAACTAATGGAAAGTAATGAAATTAAACTTATAAATGCAATAATTTAATTAATTAAGATCTTTGTCAAAATGAATAAGATCATGTGATGTTAAGAATAATTGCTTAAATATAGTCTCAAGCGAATCCAAATGTTTTTCCTTCTTTAATTGCAGTCAGTAATCTATCCTTGAGTTGTTATTTACTTTGATACTCTGGTAACTCCAGTTGCTTGAAACTATTAAATGTTAATATACTAAATGATTACCAAGTATGAGCTTATGGTAGTCTATTTACATCATTAGTGAAGAACTTAACTATCTAGAATTTCTATATACCTCTGCTACCTCTAAGTCCTTTAAAGCCCTCTACAGGTACTTTGCTACTGCCAGTTACAAATTAAATGAATTCAGCTCTCTCACTGTTATCGAATTCCTCCAGTACTTCGAAGAGCCATTTAACCACCTGTGACTCAGCTGAGTAGTTTTAATAAATTGTATTCTCTCTTAAATCAGTGACTATAATATATGTCAATAATTAAAAAACTTACTATCTATACTTGGAAGACCACTAATGAGTAATTCTAATTCTCTATTATCAAATATTTGAATCAAGTTCTTTGGTATGATATCATAAAACCCTTTCAAGAAAGAGTCTACTTATTCCTTAATTGAGCCGTAAAGTTTATGATAGGCCATCTTCTGGACATATTCAAATTTATTGTTGTCAGTAACATCTATATTACAGCCTCCTGGAATGATCTCGATTTCATCATTAGCTCCAAACTTTTCAACAGTCTCTGTAAATGTAAAGCCTAGATTTTCAACTGAATTACTCAGGCACCAAGACAAGTTTTTATAAAGCTCGTTATCGAAATCCTCAACATCATGATAATTCAAGGGAAGTCCTAACATAATCTTATATAGAGCTTTTACGAAGTAGCAATCCAAAAGTTATTATTCATAGATAGCTTTTCCAACAACATGACCGACGAACCTGAAGATTTAGATATAGTTGTCAGCTTGGATATTTGATTTTGGATTTGGGTAGTAAGAGGAACCGGCATTAGATGGAAGGAAGAAAGCATAATCAGTATTAAAGATCTACTGACTCAGTAAGATGAACCACTCTTTAGTTAATCCTCCTTCGTCAATTCCTTGCTCGTCAGCAAACTCTACGTTCAGCTTGCCCTTCCAGCGATCTATTCCCAAGAATCTTAGCTGCTCAAATGAGTCATCGAAGACTTTGTCCCTTCTTACCTATATATCAATGTACTTAAGTCTGAATTTTCTTTAGATTTTCTTGATCTGACCTCTAAATAGGAGTCTTTTGTTATCAAAGTCAAGAAGTTGAGGCACTTTCATGATAACATTACGGAGTGAGTCATTAAGAACCTACTGATTAGCACGAATAAAGCTATTGATGATCTTTTTATGCTCAAGACAGAATTTTATGAATATTTTTAGCCTCAGATCATTTCTAGCCTTTTCATCCTTAATCTTTATCCTTAGGTGCTCTTCAATAGCAGTCATGAGATCATTTTTATCTTATTACTAAATTTATTGCATTTAATACTGCAATATCTCTTCCATGATAATTTCATTTTTCTCACCTTATTACTCAGCATTGCCTTAATTTTGCCTTCTTGAAGCAGCTCCAGATCTTCTTCTATTATTCGCTTAAGCTTGACCTTATACTACTGGACTTTCATTAACAAGAGCCTCTGTGAATATGAACTTCAAATTGTACTCAAAAAGAATGAACAGAGCTATCATTATTGTTCTGAATTCATCTTTCAGGATAAATGAAGCTGAAGTTAGATTATTTGGATCTTTCTGTCTATTATCTATGAGATCGCTTATTTCTTTGACAACCTTAAAGAACAGCTGATCATCGCACATATTTAGCTCTTACTTTTTATTTCCCTTAGCTATCTTCAAGATTTGAGTGAGAATTATTACTTCTTTCTTTAGAGATTCATTGTTAATCTTAGATTTATTTGTGCTTATAATGTCTATGAATCTCTTAAGTGATTGAGACAAACTCTCCTTGAAAAATGTCTCGACCATAGTACTACTCATATTTATCTTATTGATATCTCCAAATATCGTCTTGATTTACTTTTAAATCTCCTTAGACTTGAATTCTTTGGTCAATAGTAACTCTCCCAGATTGTTAATGAGATTTTTACTTATCTCATATTAATAGTTCTAAGGCTATTAGCTTAATGGAGCATCTTTAAGTTGCTTCTTTATTTGTTAATAGCTATCTGAGGATTATGCTAGCTGTTGAATGATACTCACTAGTGTTCCTATTACATCTTCCATCCAGACTTCTTTCCCTTCGATTACGTATGCTTGCTAGTTGATTAGTTCAGGTTTGCTATCAACTAGTTTAACGAAAGTCACAACTTACTGGATGACTTATTCAATGATTGATTTCGATGGATCAAAAGATTGTCCATTTTAGTCAAACTTTAGCTGATGATGAACTAAAAAGTTCATTACACTATCAGTTGATGGTATTTTCATGAGGTCTAAACTTGCATTAGTGCTTATCTTGTTGCACTCTTGAGCAATTTGTTTAAAGCATCTGAGACAATGAAGAACGAAGTCAATCATATCCAATCTGCCTGGAAGTCCTGCGCCCCTTTCAACCATGAATCCTTTTGACTCAGTCTTATTTACTACAGCTTGTTTAAAGGCACCTTGGGATTAGTTGTAGTAATCTTGGAACTAGCTTACTCCTATCGATAGCCATTGATTTATCTTAAGGATGATGCCTTGTCTAATATATGTCACCCTGAATAGTGATCGCATTAGGTTTTACTCTCTGACCATAAAGAACTGCCCGTTGGTTAGCATCTTAATCCAAATCATAATGGTATCTATAAGTCCTTAAACCCTCTGTAAATTTGCTTCATAGTTTTCTCCTTAGAGTTACAAACTGTGCTGAACAGTCTACTCACTTAATTTTACAATATCATTGCCCTTGCCATCCAAGATCGAGATAGTTTATAGTTCTGCAACGATCTCTTTTAGATACTGCAGGAATGTAAAATGAAGACCATTGGAGCTAATGTCCTTAACTGCCAATTTTAAGGTGTTTAGATTTTGATTTCTGAAGTAAGGATCATTAGCAGATCGTGAAAAGTCAGCTAAGTCATTAAGTTATGAATCCATAGATATGAGTCTATCACGACCTTAGGGTGCTCTTGGTCTACCTCTTCTAGCCATTAGGTTATCAGCTCGAAGCGCATTAAACATGTTATTAGGATTGTTTAGGTCATGCCTTTAACCGACTATCTACAAGTTATTTGCATTGAACTAAGGCTGTATTTGATCTTGCTGTCTGACACTCAACGCATGCTGTTGATTCCTTGATTAAGGTCTTTGGCTGAGTCCCTCTGAGAAAAGATGAGATGGTAGCTAGTTGAACACTGATTCCTCCATATCTCTGTATAATTGATTTCTTTAATCTCTGTTTTAGATAGACTCCAAAAGTTAAACTGTTGTTTGAATGACCTATCCTCCAATACTTGACTGATTATGAATAGTGTTCATCACGTTCTCAGTATCAACAAGGTTCCTAATGCCTGTCTCGTCTAAATTGTCTAGGAATTCTGGATCCAATTCATCGGCTATGGCTAAATTGGCTCTGATATTTGATTAGCCATGACTTTAACTCATACCTAATTATCCTTAGTTGAGCTAACGAACGTTTTATTAACTAATTTGTCCCTATCCTAATGATGCATTCTTGAGAGTGTAATGAGAGCTGCTTTAGTCTTACATATCTTTTGAGCTTGAAACCATCCTAGTATCATCTTAATTATTTTCCCCTCCTGATTTTAGAATCTAGTTCAATGTATTTTGATTTGCCTCCGAATGTTCTCTAATGAACATTTTATAGACGTCTGGAATGTCCTAAATTTCTTTGATCAGTTCGAAGATTTAAGTGAGTGTTTCAAGTGGACTGTGAAGAATAGAATCATCCTTGAGTTTTTCTTGTATCATTTCTACTATTTGATCATGAGGGTCTTGGCCTATTCGTCTTGGCTACCTTCTATTGAAAATCATTCCAAGCAGTCTGTTTAAAACTCCTCCTAAATTTTCATTTGGTGCACCTTCAACTTGCCATCCATGAGGAGCTCCTGGATCTTATCCATTATCTATCATATCCTGATCACTCTAGAAATCTTGACTTTCCTACTCTTCGTTGATAGAATGAAGATGACCTCTATGATGTGGGTTCATGCCAAACATATCAACACTAAAGTTATTCATACTTAAGATGTCATCTCTTCTGTGCATCTGGACTCTGTGGCCTCCTCCAATTTCAATGTTGCTCAGCCTATCTTGGTTATTAGCATCTCTATCAACAAAAATCTCTATCTCTTGCTAGTCATCTTCGTCTTCATCAAGTTCTTCATCATAGTATTCATCGCTTGGCTCCTCACCATCATCATCACTTCCATAATCAGCATCCTCATCGCCGTAATCCTAATCATTTCCAGCATCGATAACTTCGAAATCTTCTTCAGCTTCCTCTTCATTCTATCCTCTTTCTTGATTTCTTCTGTCCTGAGAATTTGGATTCTAAGAACTCTGAGACCTGCCGTTTTGAGATTGCCTTACTGGCATTGAAGATTCATCTTCGCCGTCTTCATCGTCTTCCATAAAGTAATCATCTTCTGCTTCATCCCCATAGTCCATTCTGAGGATATCATCGATAGCATCAATTTAATTAGGATTTATTTCTTCACTTGCTCCTATTGATCCTCCGATCTCTCCTGAGGCATTAATATCATCAAGATCGTCATCGTCGTCGTCATCATCACCATAATCCTCATCAAACTCTTCATCCTCACTAAATCTGAAATTTCTTTCAGATCTTTCACTGTCTAGAAGGTCCTCATCTTCATTCTCTTGGCTGTCATCATCCTCTTCATCATCTTCTTCATCATCATCTTCCTCATCTTCTTCGTCTTGTTCCTCGATTATGTTTTCATCTCTGTTTGAAGACTAAGCCTCTCCTCCAACGAATCCTAGATTACTCTCGTTCAAGAGACTGTTCTTGTCTTATTCTCTTTCACCCCAAAGGTTCTTATTACCATCGAATGGTTTCAAAATATTTGAAATAGCAGACAAGCAGAGTTGAATTTGATCTTTTCCGTTTTGGAACTAAGGCAAGAAAGCTATGATGTCGATTTAGATCTTTTCAAGCTACCTCATTAAGTTAAAGTTTTCCTACTATTTGCTCATTAGCTGCGATTCATGAATAAGCTGCTTTATCATATTTACTCGGATGATATTTCTGAATTTCTGCATGTTAAGTATAAGTTGTTCAAGACCGTTATTGTCTTTTATCTGATCATCCTTCTCCTCATCTTTGAGTACATTAGATATAAGCCAAATAGCACCAAGATTGTATATTAAACCTAGTACTGGCCACTATGGATACTTCTACTCATATTGACTCTCGAATATGTTCTTAATAATTTCCTTCACAAATATATTCCTCGCCTCTAACTTTAGTTTCTTTTCTTGAACTGTAAGATGAGGATTGTCTAGCATCACTCTTTTAAAGAACTCTACTATTGCGCTGGTTTTCTTGTTCACATTCAAGCTATCATGAACTGTAACGATGTAAATCTTTGGCTACACTTAATTGCCAGTCTCGTCTTTCATCTCTTCTATGCCTGGTAAGGCTTATTTTTCCTGATCAATTTGAATCACATTTTGGTAATAAATGTTTCTGATGATGAATCTATAGGTCTTTCCGTCTTTATGCTTTAGCAAGCTCTAAACAAGCATTGGGTTGTGAGTCATGATATAAGTCAGATGGCTTAATATGCTCTAGGTGTCAAATATATGCTTGAAATGTTGAATGCTATGATTATGATCTATGAGCTTAATACCTTTTTCAAGCATTTATGATTCGATTTTGAAAGTTGACGGATTCTAAGCTTGCTTGCAAGATTAAGAGATTATCATCTTATCATCTCTGATTTGATCTATGAATAAGTCCATGAAGGTAAATACTATCTGCTCCTAAAAACTTTGAAGATTTTTGTAGTTTTAATGCTTCTCTGTTTCAGTTTTGAGGCCTAACTATACACCTGTCTATTGCTATAGTTGTAGACCGTATTATATGATCATGTCTTTAAGTTGGGAATAGTTCAAGCATATGAAGAACTCTTCCTTAAGTTTGGGCTCCTGCTTGATTTCTTGATCCTTCTTAGATTCTTCATTTTTCTTGATTCTTTTGGATCTTCTGTATTAAAGATCTTCCAATTTTTCATCCCCTTTTAGTTCTTCAGACTGATCTTTTTGCTTTCTTTCCTCTTTTTTATCTTCATTCTTAGCCTTTGAGTCTTCAAATTTGAGATTCTTTTCGATTTAGCCTTCACCGCCCTCTTTCTTTTCCTCCTTGAACTTCCTCTTCAAAATACAAACATTCTAGCAAGCTAGTAGGAATGATTTAAGATCCTGAATCTGCATAACCTTTGAGAAGAAATTGATGAACTCTTCTAGCAATACATCGCCATACTCTTGCTTCTTAAAAATCTACTACTTTAAATTCTTAGAGTTATTATTCTTAAAGGCAGTGTTCACATTCCTCTCCTCAACCTAACTCATCATCTTGTCCTCAGACTTAGACCTCTTGATTGGAGTTTGTGACTTCTTCTTCTTAGAACCTTTTGACTGTATCTTTGGCTGATTTTGCTTGCATTCCTCAAAGTTCAGTAGTACTTTGATATCCTAGCCTTCTTCCTGTTTGAATTTCTACTGGAATTAAATGAACAGCACACTTTTGATAAGGTTTTCAAAGACCTTGACTTAGCATTGCTCATTCTGAGAGAGTAGTTGCAGAAGTATCTTTGACTATACCTGAATTTCATTTAACTTCTTAAGATCTCCATTGAATAGTGTACTATGCTCGAACTGGTCTTTGGATACAAATCTAATGCCAAATAAAGCTTTTAGTCCCTCATTCTATAAGAAATAGGCTTGGCAATCAAACTCTTCATAGCCTTTAATGTTCATAAGGAAATTCAGGTTCTCCAAGGACTTCTTTATCAGCATTTGTAGGCAACTGCCCTCAAGTGAGTCAGCTTTCTGATTCATATTATGCATTGATCTGTGGAGTTCAATTGTACACATAGTGCAATCTTTAAAGGTCTATGAAGTCTTTTGTGGATTGTTTTTGAATATATTCTTCTCATTCTTAAGAGTGAGTTTTTCCAGCTCCTGTTTGATTTCAATTAGAGTGGGAGTTTGCTATGATTACTAAGTCTAACCAAGCATATGGTGCAGTTTACTAATGTCACTGGTGATTTTAGCCTCCTCAGAGATATATAAGAACAGAGAAAGACATTAATCAAGCTGTTTGACGATATCAGTGACTTTAGCTGCATTGAAGTTCTCGTTTTAGAAATCGATTTCTACTCTTAAGTCCTTAATTGCCTATCTGTAAAGGTCTAGTATTCTCTCTATTCCATTAGTGAAAAGATCTGACTGATCAAGCAGCTCTCCTCTTTTGTAGCTCATTAAGCAAGCTAATGAATATGCTAGGACTCCTACTTGCTCTTTTTCACCATGAACGATACTCTATATAATTGTTTATTTGACATCCTTGACCAGAGCCTGAATCTCATTCTTCTTAAAGTCCTTGCCTACTGTGAAGTAAATCTTGTCAATCACCTCATGCTTCTTTATATTTGCAAAGTTTTAAGGAATGAATTTCAGGTAGTTGCCTATTGATTTCCTTATCAAATCAAGCAGGTCTAGTTTAGTGAAAGAGCTGTAGGTGATATAGTCATCAAAGACAGGCACTGGCTCATCAGACTCAACTTTCTTTTCCTCTTTCTTGGGCTTCACCTCTGGCAACTCACTGTCAAAGGCTGATGTATTTAGAAAATCTAGAGCAGCCTCCAAGTCATTTTGCTCTTACTCCAAAGCAAAGTCAATCATTCGCTCTGGGTAACCCATCTCTAGCAGATAATCTTTGTTCTTATTATACTCTGACTTATGTTATGACTAATCTTTGATAGCGAATAACTGAATATCGTTGAACAGCTTGATATGAGTAAGTCCCTCAGAGACATAGACATAGATCTCGCAAAAGGAGATAAAGAATAGCTCGCTTGTCATGTCGAAGTACTCAAAAATATTCAGCTTTCGATCATCTAGCAAGTGCTTCACTTATTCATTGTCATTTAACTCTGAGAACAGGAAGTACAGAGTTTCTCCGTATAGACTCATATAATACTTCTGCATTTTAGCGACCGCTAGTTCGTTCTCTGCATAGGAGTCCTCAGATTTGATAGGAGCACAGGGATTGGTCTTGAAAGATATCAGGTATTATGAGAACTACCAATCTAAGTATTTGGCCTCGATTAGCTAAATGTAAAAATCTACTAGGTGACTCCAGAGTAACTGAATGCTCCTAGATAATTTAAGCATAAAAGGCTTTTGCTGTTTGTGAAGCTTGTACTAGTAATCAATAAGATACAATACGAGATTCTTCACCTACTCTAATCCATCATTGTAAACAAAACTTAGGAACATAGAACCAAATGATGAGTTGTGGAATATGATTTTGTTAAATACTCCGAAGATAGCAGAGTACTGGCAGCAGTACTTCATGACTTCAAGCTCGTCGTCCTTTTGTTTCAAGATTCTTTCAAAGTCTTTGTACTGCTCAGCAATTAACTTTCCAATCTCTCTATTGAATTCCAGTAGCTGTATATCAACTTACTCAGTGAAATGCATCTTCTTTTTATTCATTATTCTAATCACGTTTGTTAGCAGTTTTCTGATGTTAGTCTGACAAAGATTTGAGGTGTGGCTGATGTTCTCGTCTAATTGAAGCTCAATAATAGTCTTTTGATTCTTTCTTGCTTCTTAGCTAACCACTGAATCAAGCTTAAGGTATTCATAGTTGTAATAGAGGCTCTTGAAGACCTCTTCCTCAGTATTGCATTCTGGCAGAGGTTAGAAGGTTTTAAAATTATAGCTATCAATGATGTGCTGATATTTTGGGGTTAACTCCTTCAATCTAGCTACTTGCCTATGTAGATCTCTTCCATACTTAGAAGCATGGAATCTATTGACTAAGGATTGTATCTTGAAAAGCTTGTAAAGTACAGCAAGCAATCCATGATCCTTTATCAACTTAACTTTGATAGGTTGCTAGCATTATCTAATAAGACTACAATAAACGCTAATTTTGGCAAAAATGACTGAGCACTAGTCTTCTCCTGAAAGTCTTGATATCAGATCATCACTCAGTTATTTTATCTCTATATTCTGATTACTTTAACTTTGAAGTCTCTCATCAAGGATAATATCAAGACGAGTTTTCAATAGCCCTTCAAGATCTGCAACAGAGTCTAGGTTATTTGTCTCGCATGCTTTATAGACATTTTCAATTTGAATCACTAGATCCTCCATAACTTGTATCATAAACTTGGTCTTATCCTCAGGCCCATAGCCATGCAGAATCTAAAGCATGATTTCACTAAAGTAGGGAAGCATGTTTGGGCATCCAGATGAGATAATAGGGGTTGATAGTATTTTTTTGAAGATAACGATAGTCTCCTCCTTATTCTGGCTAATTGCTTCATGAATGAGATTTCCTTGTCTGAATATTTACTCATCAATGGCAAAGTACCAAAGCAAGTAAGTGATTGACTCGAAGGTTTGCTCAAGTGAGATCTGCTCTCTTTCATATTAGAATCTAAGTTGAGTCTTGTGTTCCTCAGTCAAAGTGAGGTCATTTTTAACTCTCTCTTCCATAACTATGTAGTTCTTAGTGACTTCCCAAGCTTTTTCAATTCCTGTCTAATACTGTCTTATAATCTGAGTGTAAATCTCATTAGATAAAGCCTAATTATTAAGAGCTATCTGTTGAATCAGATCTTTGAACTGCATCGCTTTGGTTTGACTGACTAGCTATCTATACGAGCGACTATTGTGAGCAAGTTATACAAATTTCCCTATGATGCCTGAAGATATAATAAGCTTCATGCTTTGATCATTTAGACACAGAGTTTGAATGAATTTCATAAATATTGTAAACAAATCTGGTTGAATGGGGATTCTAGAGTTGAGCGAATCTAATATCTGAGAGAAAAATCCATTTTCAACGAATATTGGAATCTTTTGTGGCAGATCATTGAATACGTAAGATATCAGTTAAAGACCTAAATTGCAAATAAAACATGACTAAATCGCTTACATTATAATAGAATCGGATCAGTATTGATAAATGAAAGATTATCTGAGCCTTCTTATCTGTTGACGTCAAATATCTCTCTGGCAATATCTTCTTGTATCAAGTTGCTCTCTAATATTTTTCTAGAGTTTGCGATGAAATTTTGATTAAAGTTTATTGCATCTATACATCAAATATTATATAGTATGAATCTTACTTGGGTCATTTCTGATAATAGAGTATGACAGGAATCTTAACAAGGTTCTGATCAGATCTTATCTGTAAGCTAGTAGAATCTTGTTATCTGTATCATCATCCTAAGCAAGTTCCCAGGTCTTAGTGATATCTTTGAGAACATTGATTTCAAATTTTAGCCTAAATATTACCCATTCCACAGCACCAGGATCTTCGATTGTACTTTGCTTTACTACTTCTTTCAGCAATTTTGCTGCTTTTAATTGGCAATTGATGTTGATGGGATACAAATTCCCAACAGGCTCCAGAGCAACTATAGCTAGCAATGGCTTCAGGAATTAAGGGTAAAGTTGATTTTAGAGTGGCCTGTTTTTAATGTTCATTAAGTTCAGAAGGAGATTGATCAAGTTACTCATGAATCTCTGGCTCTTGATTGTTTCTGTGAAAATGCTATTCAAAGATTATTAATCCATGTTTAAATAATCATCCCCGACCAATAGCTTCATTTGGCTTATTTACTTAGTTAAGTGGGCATTGTCTATCATCTAAGACTGCTCGATCTCAAGCAATTTGAAATAAGAATGATAGCATGCCAAGCTTTGTAAAGTGCTGATATAGTATTCATGATGATTGCATGCCTCCTGGTAGTATTGATTATCTGTTGGTTCATCATAGTTGAACAGTGAGTTCAAGTCAAGAATAATGACCAAGAAGAATATGTTGACGACATGTGAATGCACTTTCTAAGAAGCAAACATTAATATTTGTGAATGATACCTTGGAGACATGTGGGAACTTCAAGATCTTTATGAATTTATCTACTACTAGTTTTGGGGGTAGAAGGCTTTCAAGTTTGCTTTAGAGAGTTCTCTTATCTTTAGTTGTAACATCTCCAACATTAACTATATATAGATATTTAAACTATAATTTAACTTACTATATAGATTGATAGCTTTCAGAATGATGATAAAAGTATCTTCTAGAGATTTCTGATCTTTGATTATATTCTGGAGTTCAAATACTGATTTCTCATAAGAGTCAAGTTAAGACTTGACTCTTCCTGCAATCTGCTCCAAGGTAGATTAGGGGTTCTTCTCAAAGTTTTGATTAAGCAATAGGTCTGCAACGTACTCAAAGCTACCGATTAAACCTAGTATACTTCTCTCATAAATTCTAGAGATTTAAGAGTCAAATTTATCAAGTCCCTCTGAGTAATTAATAGCTTATGGGTTTGACTTCTTGTCGCCCTTTTTAGAGCTCAATGTGATAAAGACGCCGATGACTTCATCTATGACTTAGATATCTTTGATGTATTAGCTGAATATTAGTATCAGAATCTATATTAATGTTTGAATATACGAATGTGTGACCTACATCTGTGGAGCTAAAGTACTGCACATTTGTTGCATACTGAAGTATTTTCTTCAGAAATCGCAGTATTATCAGAATCATAGATTTATTCTATTGGTCTTTCATATCACTTTAAAGATTAACCAACAATTTCTCTTACCCATTATATAAAATCTAAAGAAGATCATCTAGAATATTAAAGATGTCAACCCATTGTAAGAAGTTGATCCTAGTGGTCTTCCAAATGTTGATGTCGCTGATGTTCTCTAGCTATTGCAAAAATTCACTTTGGCTGAATGGCTAAGTATTATACAGTTTCAATAGCATATCTCTGTATTCTTTTCCCTACTCTTCCTATAAATAGTTAGTTAAATCATTTGGTTAGGTTAGAGTTGATTTAAAGTTTATTGCTGGATGCTTACTTCTTCTTAGTCCAGATTCTGCTTCATAAGCTTCATCTGCTGCTTAGCAGTGAAAATTATACGCATATTTGATAAAAAGGTTTTATTAATTTATATTGCAATTTCTATCAAATACCTAAATGTTCTTTTCATGGGGTTTTGGGGTTTTGGGGTTTTGGGGTTTTGG